TCGACTGCCGCGCCACCGGAGCACCCCCCCCCCGCGGAATGCCGCGCTGCGCCACGCTGCCTCCCGCCACCCCAAGATTGGCCGCCCCTTACCAGGTGCCGCCCCAAGCATGTGCTTGGTTGCCTGGTGCCTGGAGCCGTCCCTGCTCTCAACATTCACAACCCCGCACTTCCCCCCACAAAACACACACAATCCAATACAAAAATGTAGTGCTCGGTGGAGTTTGTATCTGGCTCAGTACAAAAAAAAGAATTTAGAGGGAACACTGAATGTACCATTTGAATGTATAAACAGGGTAAGATCAAGTACAAGTAGACAGGTTATATTACCTTTGTATATGGCATTAATGAGACCAAACTGGAATACTGTGTCCAGTTCTAGTGTCCACACGTCAAGAAAGGTGTTTAAAATTGGAAAGGGTTTGGAAAAGAGCTACAAGAATGATTTCAGGTCTGGAAAACATGCCTTTACAGTGAGAGACTTCAAATCTCAGTCTTTATAGTTTATGAAGGAGAAGAGTAAGAGGTGACTAATGTTTCTTTAATCTAGCAGACAGATTTAACAAGATCCAGTGGTTGGAAGATGAAGCTAACAAGTTCAGATTAAAATTAGGCACAACATTTTAACAGTGACGGGAATTAATAATTAAAATAATTTATTTAGGAATTTGTTGGATTCACTATCACTTGAAGTCTTTACATCAAGATAGGATGGCTTTCTAAAAGACATGCGCAGCCAGTAATTATGGGCTTGATGCAGGAATTACTAGGAGAAATGCTGTGTAAATTTAGTCAGACTTCCTGTGTTATGCAAGAAGACAGACTAAATGTTCATAATGATAAAAAATCATTAAAAATGTAGGGTTGGAAGGGACTTTGATAAGTCATCAAGTCCACCCCCCTGCACTCTGGCAGGGCCAAGTAAACCTAGACCATCCCTGACAGGTGTTTGTCCCACCTGTTTTTAAAAACGTGCAATGATGGGGATTATACAACCTCCCTTGGAAGCCTATTCCAGAGCTTAACTATCCTGATAGTAAGAAAGATTTTCCTAATATCTCATATAAATCTCTCTTGCTGGAGATATGAGCCCATTACTTCTTGTCCTACTTCCAGTGGACATGGAGAATAATTGATCACCATCCTCTTTATAACAACCCTTAACATATTTTGAAGACTGTTATCAGGTTCCCCCTCATTTGTCCTTTCTCAAGACTAAACAGGCCCATGCTTTTTTAACCTTTCTTCATAGCTCAGATTTTCTAAACTTTTTATCATTTTTCTTGCTCTCCTCTGGACTCTCTCCAATTTGTTCACACCTTTGCTAACATGTGGTGCTCCAAACTGGACACTACTCCAGCTGAGGCCGCACCAGTGCTGAGTAGAGTAGGACAATTACCTCTGATGTCGTATATACAATACCCCTGTTAATACACCCCAGAATGATATTAGCCTTTTTCACCTCTGCATCACACCTCTCACTTATATTCCATGTGTGATCTACTATAACCCCCCAGATCCTTTTCAGCAGTACTACCATCTAGCCATTTATTCCCCATTTTATAGTTGCACGTTTGATTTTTTCCTTTCAAGGGAAGTGCTTTTCAGTTGTCTTTATTGAATTACATCTTGTTTAATTCAGACCAATTCTCCAATTTGTCAAGGTTGTTTTGAATTCTAATCAAAACCTTCAAAGTGCTCACAGCACCAACCAGCTTGGTGTCATCAGCAAATTTCTACTCCATTATGCAGGTCATTAATGAAAATACTGAATAGTACTGGACCCAGTCATTAAAGAGCTCCTGATGGAGCTATACTGGCTTCTTACTGTTCTTCCTATCTTTCCTTCGCATTAGGATAGTTTTGCAATTGTGACTTTTAATCTCCTTGAGAAATGGCCAGCTCTTATGAACTCCTTATCCCCTTAGATTTTCTTCCCATGGAGTTCTTTGCATTTGTTAAAGTCTGCTTTTTTTTTAAGTCCATTGTCCTTATTTTGCTACTGTCACTGCTTCCTTTGTTTAGAATCATGAACTCTATTATTTCATGATCACTTTCACCCTCATTACTTTTCACCATCAGATTTGCCACCAATTCCTCCCTGTTGGTCAGAATCAAGTCTAAATGGCTGTCCCTCTGGTTACTTGCTTCACTTTCTGAAACAAAAAGTTGTCCAAGATTTTGTGTTTTGCCGTTTTACATTTCCAACAGATGTCTAGGTGGTTAAAGTTCACCCCCCTTACTACCAGTCTTGTGTTTTGGATATCTCTATTTATTCTAGAAATGCCTCATTCACCTACTCTTCCTGATTTGTTGGTCTGTAGTATACCCCTACCACGACATCACCCCTATGTTTTACCCCTTTTATCTTTACCGATAGACTCTCAGCTGGTTTCCTCCTACCTCCTTCTCGACCTCAGAACTAGTGTATATATTCTTGTTGTATAATGCAACACCTCTCTTTTTTATCCTGCCTATCCTTCCTGAACAAGCTGTACCCCTCTATAGAGGCTACAGACTGGGGACCGACTGGCTAAGCATCAGTTAAAATGACCTGGGGATTACAGTGGACGAGAAGCTGGATATGAGTCAGCAGTGTGCCCTCGTTGCCAAGAAGGCCAACGGCATATTGGGCTGTATTAGTAGGAGCATTGCCAGCAGATCGAGGGAAGTGATTATTCCCCTCTATTCAGCACTGGTGAGGCCACACCTGGAGTATTGCATCCAGTTTTGGTCTCCCCACTACAGAAGGGATGTGGACAAATTGGAGAGAGTCCAGTGGAAGGCAATGAAAATGATTAGGGGGCTGGGGCACATGACTTATGGGGAGAGGCTGAGGGAACTGGGGTTATTTAGTCTGCAGAAGAGAAGAGTGGGGGGGATTTGATAGCAGCCTTCAACTACCTGAAGGGGGGTTCCAAAGAGGATGGAGCTAGGCTGTTCTCAGCGGTGGCAGATGACAGAACAAGAAGCAATAGTCTCAAATTGCAGTGGGGGAGGTCTAGATTGGATATTAGGAAACACTCTTTCACCAGAAGGGTGGTGAAGCATTGGAATGGGTTACCTAGGGAGGTGGTGGAATCTCCATCCTTAGAGGTTTTTAAGGCCCGGCTTAACAAGTCTTGGCTGAAAAGGTTTAGTTGGTGTTGGTCCTGCTTTGTGCAGGGGATTGGACTAGGTGACTTCCTGAGGTCTCCTTCATCCCTAATATTCTATGATTCTATACCAATATTTCAGACATGAAGTTTATGTCACCAAGTCTCTGTGGTGACATAATTTAGGTTATGTACTAATGTTTCCAATTTTTCCTGTTTGTTTCCCATACTCTTTGCATTTGTATATAGACATCTAAGATGTTGAGCAGATTCCCCCACTGATCTCCTCTTGTTGCTCCTATGACCCTATTGTAATTTTCCAGGTCCCCCCCCCCCAACATTTAACACTGTGTTAAGGTCGCCTTTTTAAATTTGTGGGCTTTTGTCATCTGGCGCCTTTGAACCTAGTCTCATCCAAGATTTTGGTACATCCCATATCTGGAAATGGATCAGCTGCAAAATTCTGATTCAGATATTTATATCAGCTTTCACAGAATTATGGAGAGGTGTTTTCAGTGCCAGCATTTCAGAGCCCGGCTCTAACACTAAATAGTTTGTGGCAGTATTTGTTCTTGGACATTTATTAATATGAGAGTTTAATATTTATGTTGAAAAATCATTTTAGAATTCCTGCACACAGTTCAGTGAGATGACTGGCTTCTAATAGCATTTGCTTGTGTAGTGAATGGCACAGCACAGAAAGAATCAGAGAAAATAAATATTATATGGGTGCACTGAGCTGTGACCAGGGCTGGCGCAACCCATTAGGCGACCTAGGCGGTCGCCTAGGGCGTTAACATTTGGGGGATGGCAACTGCGGCTGCCGGACCTTCCGCCGCCTCTGTTGGAGGCGACATTTCGGGGGTGGGACCTTCCGCCGCCTCTGTCGGGGGCGGCATTTCAGGGGTGGGACCTTCCGTTGCCTAGGACAGCAAAAAAGCGGGCGGCGCTCCTGGTTGTGACAATGTCTGAGAAAGTGCAAAAGACGATAACAAAGAGGAGCTTTTGTTATTCCCATATTTAACTAATCCATATCTAGAATTAGAATTTGCATGGTGTCCAGCTAGCAAATTTATGGAGAAATTTAATGAAATGATGAGACATCTGCCTTCTGTTTTGCATAATGAATCCTATAATAGTCACATAACTTAAAGGAATAACAAAGCTTTTCCTGACTTAATTCCCCGATTAAACATTTCACATACCACCCAAATCTTCTACAGTTCAGAAAGAAAGTTTCAACATGCTACTGCCTACTCTAAGCTAGAAAAATGAGTGACATATGGGAAGACAGACCACCTACTTTACTAATACAGTACACAGAGTATGTTAGCAACCAATTAACAGAGTGCTTTGTATGCTCTTACACAGAGCACAGATGGATCATGTTGCTAGAAAACATGGTCTCAATTGCTCTCCATTCAGATTAAGAAATTGAAATATTTATCCTGGAAAATTAAGGCTAACATTTAAAAAAATGAGTGCTTGAAGTCAGACTCTTATGTCCAATTAATGCACCTGAATAAATGGTCTAATTTTCAACAGTGCTGAGCAAACATGGGTGTCTAAATTTGGACACAGGCTTGATTTTAGGCATCTGTTTTTGAAATCTTGGCTCTATGTATTTTTGAGATTCTTATTCAGTATTTCTTTGAAACTATTGTCTCTAATTTTTCCAGTGGAGGTATAAAGCTAAATCATCAGTCAGTTCCAATCTTTCATCTGTTGCTATACCTGATGGGAAAGAATTGACACAAAAGGTGCCAAGATTATTAAAATGACTTGTAGTTTTGGGTGCCCAACCTGGGATGCTCTCGAGGTGCCTGATTTTTCACAAAATGCTGAGCCTCTGACTTCTGAAAATCATGAACTGTTAAAGTGTCTCAAATTAAGCATCCAAAATCACTAGTCACTCTTAATAACCTTAGCCAAATTGAATTATACTTGTTTGCCCTTATTCTCCTCTGCACTCTAGCAGCATGACTCAGCGGGGGGAAAATGCTTGCTGTTTCCTCAAAGGTTTATAACATAAAAATAAAATAACTTTAACAGAGAAAACAGAAGAACACCCAGCATTGGGTTCTACCTAGTCTTATGCTCCATTACAGCCCCTCTCCCCTGCAAAGAGAGGTGTGGAAGCTGATCTGACATTAACCCCTTGTTCACCAGAGGCCAGGTAGTGCACCTGCACCCTGTCACACTTACCACCTCAATTTTTCCTCCTCCTGGTTCCCTCTTTCCTTTTTATTTTCCAGTTTTAAAGATGGGGAAGGCATTGGTGTGGTTTACACAGTAGAAATCAATCTGCCTCTGTTCCCGCAATGCCTCCTATTCTTTCATCATTCTTATTTTCAGTAACTGCAGGGAAAACTGTGGATGCTCTAGCGCTCAGGATTGCTGCATTTGTAAGGCTGGCAGATTGGACAAGCCTGTGAAGGAGCTGTGACCTCCACAGGAGCTACCACCCATTAGTTGCAAGCATCTGTGAAGCCAAATTGCTGTGTGTCATGTGTAAGGGATAAGAGAGAGACTCTAATTCCTTTAGCCTGGAATTCAAGAAAATCTCTTAGTTGTCCTGGAAGAAGTATACACAGAATTCATTACAAGCATACTTCTTAATGGTATGTGCTGATAAGAGAAAAGCTCTAATGTAAAACATATCTGGAAGTTCACTTTTGTTGTAACCTTGTGAGACAGTTCCAGATAACTAGGGAGGGACAGGGTGACATATAATACAATAAAACATTTCTTTAAGTTTAACCTTTTCTGAAGAACATTTGAGCTAACAAGAGAACAAAGACAAGGCTATTCACATTAGAAAAATAGAAACTGCCATTGTGGATTAGACCAACCTCTGTCTAGTCCCGTATCCTGTCCCTGACAGTGGTCAGTATCAGATGCCTCAGAAGGAGGCGTTGAATCTCCATAATTGACAGTTATGCAATATCCTCTCCATGGAGAAAGTTGCTTCTTGACCCCAAGCAGCTAGTAGTCCTGAACACAAGATTTTAACTCCCTTGTACATGTCTATCCGATCTATTTATGTAACAGACATCTATTTTTTTTTAAATGAAGTTTGTAAATAATAATAAGAAAAAAACCCTGAGTGCGTGTTTCTTGCTGCAGTGTGTCCTGCTTGGCTTGCGTGCAAACATACACCTTCAAATAGGAATGAATTATGGGGTAGCAGTTTGTAAGGGGTGGTGGTGTCTGGTTGGGGAAACTGGTGTCCTCTTCAGAACACTCAGGAGCCCCTGTCAAAATGCAGGGGTTGCATATCTGAACTATTGGATTATGCTTTAATCTGCCATGAGTTAGAAACTCTCTTGGTGGCATAACATTCGCATTAGAGCCAGTACGTTGTAATTTCGGGGCAAATCTGTGTGTTACTGAAACTTTTAATTGCAATTAAAATTAAAAATGAAAGCTTACATTGCTGGGGAGAGGGTCTAGTTGGTGAGTTGGACTTCCCCGGCCCTCCCCGTGCTAATAGGGTTCAGTGCACTACGTGAATTGGAGAGGGGGTGCCTACTTGCTCCTGGAGCAGAGGACTCTCTTTATTTTCCTGGGTGCCTTTGCTATCCAAGCATAACCCAGTGTTTCCTGAGTTGTAACAGTGACATTCAAATCCATTTCTAGCACAGTGCAGAAAGCACCCCTCTGATAGAGCAGAATTATGTGCTGATTTTTAACTTGCCATGTGCTGGAAGAATAGGAGGAGGCTCATTGGTTTTCAGAGGCGGCCACAAGAGGGGGCAGGGTAATGGCAAAAATACCCCCCCATAACACACAGCTTGTGCCTTGTAAGCAGACATGCGCTTAAAAAATGTGCCAGCTAGAAATGCACCTAGGTATGTCGGGCAGCCGAACCTGTGCACCTCCGGTGAAATCCTGGCCCTGTTGACTTTAATGGAAGCAGGGTATCACTGCAAGTTTCCATGTGGAGTGACCTGATTTCTCGGTGCAAATGCAGGTGTTTTCAGCGTTGTGGTGGAGCACATTTTAAAGCTAGAATACTGAATGTGCTAAGGGTCACACAGTTCTTAGCAGCAGGACCTTTTCTCTAATGTGGAGTAGAGGGTACAAAAAACAGAGCCATTCCCCGTCAGCAATGATCATTCTGTGATGCCATGTTACTTTGCAGAAGATGTTCCCGGTGCGGAACAGGAAGCTGACAAGCTGGTGAAGTCACCACCTCCTCCACCTCCACGTCGCAGCTACCTACCGGGATCTGGCCTCACCACAACGAGATCAGGAGACGTCATCTATGCAGTCAAAAAAGAGACCACCATTGTCAAGGTTTGATGATTCAGGCAGTAGCTAATTGACTTAGTGACTAATTGCTGGCACATGAAACATTCCAAGACTTCATCTGTTTGTCTAAACCATAGAAAAAGTTGATGGCCCAGAGAGGTGACTAATAGGTCACCAGGAAATTCTACTGATCAGAAAAAGCAACCAATAGGATTTGTCCAGTCCTGTTCTCATAATTCTTATCCTTCCACTTATCTCTGTAAAATGCAAATCACAAGCGGCTTTCATCCAGTGTGTCATAAGAAGATTAAAAATAAAAAGCCCATCTTATGCAGATGGGGAAGATCAGCTCAGAGAATCAAGAGTTTCCACAGAAACATTTTAAGAGTTTCTTGTTGCTTACTTTACTCACCGGTGACATTTGAAGTGAAATAAAAAAGGAGGGAGGCAGTATGGGGATGCCTCTCCATCTCATACACATTATATCAATAGCATCAGGATTATATTGATCTAGCACCATATTATTTGGTTTTAAATTGATAAAAAAGTGAGCTCTTACGACGTCACATTAAACAAGCAAACAAACAAACAGCTCAGCCCCTCCCGAAAGCCTGCAATAAGGGGAGTTGCATTATTATTGATTTTACTGTATTTGCTTTGCACTAGCATGGTGTGTATATATATTGGCTCTCTGTGGTTCTTCACCCTTTCAGGAAGGCAGCGAAGATGCTGGACAAACAGCACAGTCCAAAGTACCTAAAGAAGATCCAGCCTCATCCCGGGCACCACTGCCTGTCACAGCATCTGCCACAAAGGACGAGGAGGAAGAGGAAGGTGACAGAATAATGGCAGAATTGCAGGTATGCACATTGAATTGCACATGGATATCCATATACAGTCTCACTCTCTTCTACAGACCTTGCTTCTGTTCTTAGCTAGGATCACAAAGGAAAATGAGCGTGGTGGTCTCACCCAAATACCCTTTGTGAATAAATATCCACATAACACAACCACCACACTGTTCTGGCCTGGAAAAGCAGGGTTTTTGTGGCTCATTATTCAGGGGTATTCGCACTGCTGTTGGACAAATCCTCCTTGACAGATACACAAATAGGTTTGCTGTGCTGTACATATTCAATGTGTTCAGCATTGACCTGAGAAGAGACGCTCACTCCATGGTCTTTCATTTTGCAACAGGTGGAACTGTTTTAGATCACTGACAATGACACTGTAGTAAAAAGCAAACATTAAAACTGCAGTCAGTGAGTTTCCAGTGTTTCCGAGCTGCATACTCTATATCAGTGGTCACTAAGCTGTCACTCATGATCGACTGGTTGATCCTGGAGCTTTGGCCAATCGATCATGCTCTCCGGGCTGCTAAAAGTCCGGCGGGGCTCAAAGGTTACGTGCCTGCCTAACCCCATGCCACTCCCGGAAGCGGCTGGCTGCTGGCACGTCTCTGCGGCCCCTGGGGGAAGGGGAAGGGTGAGGTGGCTCCAAATGATGCCCCCGCCTCCAGCATTGTCCAGAACTGCGGGGGTGGTGCTTGCAGGCGTGGGCAGTGCACGGAGCTGCCTCACCCCCCCCCTTTTCCCCAGGAGCTGTGCGCAGAGACGTCCCAGCAGCCAGCCACTTCTGGGAGCCGCCTGTGGTAAGCGCCTCCCAGACAGAGTCTGCACCTTGCACCCCCTCCTGCATCCCAGCCCAGAGCTCCCTCCCAGACCCCGAACCCTCTCCCACACACCAATCCCTTGCACCAAACTCCCTCCCAGAGCCCGCACCTCTCACTCTCTCCTGTACCCCAACACTCTGCACCAGCCTGGAGCCCCCTCCTGCACCCAAACTCCCTCCCAGAGCTTGCACCCCTCACTCCTGCACCGCAACCCCCTGTCCCAGGCTCAGCCAATGCTTAACCCAACAGTTGAGAATGTTACACTGATTTTTGACAATCCCTGAAGGATTTTGGATCTATAAACCACAACTGACAATAATAAAAAGTAAAACTCATGAAATGTCCAGTGGATTCTATGAGATTCTAGGTGCAGTGTGACCATATGATGCCTGCACCCAAACTCCCTCCCAGAGCTTGCACCCCTCACTCCTGCACCCTAACCATCTGCACTTAGCTTAGCCCGGAGCCCCCTCCCACACCCCAACCCTCTGCCCCAGCCTGGTGAGAGTGGGGGAGAGTGAGTGATAGAGGGAGGGGGGAATGGAGAGAGCAGGGAGTGGCCTCGGGGAAGGGGCAAGGGAGATCCTGGATTGATTTTAAATTCGAAAAGTGATCTTGTGCGTAAAAAGGTTGGAGACCACTGCTCTATATGGTACTGTCTCCATACTATGGTAAGAGAAACAGGTTGAGCAAATGGGGGGTTGGATTAGGGTTAGGACAGATTGGGGTTATGTAACAATACATAGGCTCTATGGAGCACTTCAGGTATTCAAAAGCACTATACAGAATTATCTAATCAATCCACTCAACAGGCCTGCCAATTGATAGGCATCTTGGGTGACCCTCACACATCCGGCCTCTCCACACCGCTCAGGCATCAGCCACTGGCATCTTAGATAGCTACGCTGCAGGCAGAGCAGTTTTTTCCCTGCAGTGTTTCCTTCTGGCCACCAGGGGCTGCTATGGCACTGGGTCTACAGGCTGTTAGGTTGCCTCTCCTCCTCTTCCTGTCTCTCTTTAGGCAGCCCAGCTGCCCAATTGCTCTTCCTCTGATAGGCTGTGAATGGGAGGGTTAATGGGGACAAGGATAATATAGGGTTTGGAAGGAGGGTGTGAAGGAAAGTCAAAGTAAGGGTACTGAAGAGGAGGATGTCAGACAATATCTGCTAGGGGTAAACATTTTTAAATCAGGTCCAGATAACTTGCACGCAAGAGTCCGGAGATGATCTCTAGCCCACTGACGTTAATTTGTAATAAATCTTGGAGTCCCGGGGAAATTCCAGAGGCCTGGAAAAATGCTAATGTTGCGCCAATGCTCAGAAAGGGCAAATGGGATGACCCAGTCAGTTAGCATGATACCAATCCTGGGCAAAATAATGGAAAAGCTGATATGGGATTCAATTAAAAGATAGGAATACAATTAATGACAATCAATGTGATTTTATGGACAATAGGTCTAGTCAAACCTGATTTCATTCTTTGAAGAGATTACATGTTAGATTGATAAAACTGTAAGGAGTTAGACTTTTTTAAAGGCATTTGGTTTATTACTGCACAACATTTGGATTTAAGAAACTGGCACTATACGGTATCAAGAGAGCACACGTTAAATGGATTAATACAAAATGAAAACAAAGTTTGAACTGGAAAGTTGCTGTGAAACATAATTGTGGTCCTCCACACAGCTCTCCTAACAACTAGCTAACTGACAGATCTCAAAAAATAGTTGTCAGTGGGGTAGCATCATCAAGTTGGGGGTGTTTTTACTTGGGTTCTTTAGGGATTCGTACATTTTCATTAATGATCTGGAAGTAAATATAAAATCAGGCTGATAAAATTTGTGGATGACATAAAGGTTGAGTGGCAAATAATGATGAGGCAATGGCAATCATGCAGTGTGTTCTGGATACTTGATAAAGGGTGTCTGTTAAACCAAAATGTGTTTTAATAGAGATAAATGCAATGTTTTACATCTAGGAACAAGGCATGAAGGCCATACCTACAGAATGGGCAGCTGTATCTTGGATAGCAGTGACTTTAAAAAGGATTTGGGGGTCCAAGTGGATAAGCAAACAGAACATGAGCTCCCAGTGCAATGTTCTGGCAAAAAGGGCTAATGCAAGCCTTGATTGTATAAAGAGGGGAGTGCTGAATAGGAGTAGGGAGGTGGTTCCACCTCTGTAAAAGGCATTAGTGAGGCTAGTACTGGAATAATGCAGTCAGTTTGGGTGTTCATATTTATAAAAGAATGTTGAAAAATTGGAGAGAGAGTGCAGAAAAGAGCCCCAAAAATTACTTGAGGGCTGGAGTAAATGCCTTAGTGAGAAACTTAAAAGAGCTCAATCGGATTAGTTTATCTGAGAGACAACTGAGAGGTGATGTGATTACAGTGTATACTGAGTCCTAAAGATCCATGCATCTGAAGAAGTGGGTTTTTTACCCGCAGAAGCTTATGCCCAAATAAATCTGTTAGTCTTCAAGGTGCCACCGGACTCCTCGTTGTTTTTGAGTCTTAAAGAGCTCTTTAATCTAGCAGAGAAAAGCATAACTGGAAGCTGAAGCCAGACCAAAGCAAATTAGGTACAAATTTTGGCAGTGAGGGTGATTAACCATTGGAACAAACTCGCAAGGGAAGTGGTGGATTCTTCCTCTATTGATGTCTTTCTGGAAGATCTGCTTTAGCAAAACGTTATTGGGCTGCATGCAGGTGTAATTGGATGACAATGAATGGCCTGTGATATACAGGTCAGAGTAGATCGTCTAATGGTCCCCTGTGGCCTTAAACTTTATGAATCTAAGTAAAAAGAGGGATCTATAAAGAGAACTTTGTTTAAAAAAGAAGAATACTGGGAGCATCTGCTACAGTTCTCCACTATGAGTTTCCTGTGTTTATTTATAATTTGGAAAGGGAGTAACAAGAGAGAGCCTAAGAGGGGAAGGATGTTATATTGGAGGAAGTGCCTGACTGTATCCAGTAATTTAGTGCTATAAATTGCATGATAGTGAGATAAATTAATGATATAGTTACCACAATACTTGCCACACCAATATCACTTCCTTACCTGCAATGGTGTAATTAATTCTCATTGCCACTCCCTCCCTGGCATGCACCTTTCCTCCACAGCACTGCTGATTTACCTTACTGATAACGCAGTGTGCAAGTACTTGTCAGGAGAACTCCCAATGTGCTACACCAGGACTTGCTGTTGGCATTGTGCACCTGTACATTGTACATCTACTGGCAATAATGGCCTTTAGCCTCCTCTTGAACTAGGAGCTAGTGGGAGAGCTGCGCTGGACCCCCCAAGGAATTAGAGAGAAGCCAGCTCTGCTCAGTAAGGTAGAGGTCTTGAGAGCCCACACTCTGTGGTGCAGTAGGAGGAGAACTTAGTAGCAGACCCATGCTCCTAGGACTTGACTTATACCAGAGCATTGCTGCGGGAGGAAAATATAGGGTCCATAGGCCCTGAAGAACCTGAACTCCTTAGACCTCACCACCTTGGAGTATGGTTGCTATAGTGTGGCTGATACCTGAAGAACCCACAGCCTAGGGTAGGCCAGGGCCTGGAGTGCTGGAGAGGAGCTGGGGGCAGGGAAGGGGAGAGAAACACATTTTGGGGCACTGAGGACAGTGACAGGATCCAGAGAGCTCAAGCACATGATTGGTGGGGACCATAGCAGACTAGAAGGATGATGGTAGTTCAGGAGGAAAAGAAACCGGGGATCTGAGGTAACGGAGAGAGAGAATAGCAACAAGAAGTTTAAGCCAAGACCTGCATGAGGGCAACATCACTGTCATATGTACATACCAAACATGTACGCCAGAGATGCTGTCCCCTGTGTTACCGTGTGCAATGCAGCCCTGCGTGGCATTTCCACGCCCCTCCCCTGACTTGAACTTGTGTTCAGTTGCACTTCACTGTATTTACTATTCATTAGCATAGGCTTTTCTGTGCCTCAGCCCACACAGTGGGTTCACATGGCTGTGTGAATTCATCAGGCTTTTTTGTTGCCTATCTTAAAATCACCTGCAGGTTCCCATAGGTTCCATGTTTGCGGATAGAACACACATGTGGCCAGGTTTAAGAGTTTTGTGGCAGTGGAAATGCCATTCGTTTGGCCCTGTATTGGGTCCTGACAGAATGAGTGGAAAATGAGAACGCTGGGGTGTGTATGTGGAATTTTATACTTCCGTTCTAGTTCGTTGACTGCCCAAACCCTACCCACCCACCACCATTTCCTTATACATGTTACAACTGAGCCTGTCAGCAGCTTAGCTGATAAAATGCATTTCCGAGGGTAGAATTTGCGGGCTGGCCAGGGGCTGACAAAACAGTATTACTCACCTCTTGGAAATGGAGCTCATTACCCATATGTGAAAAGTGTTTTGGGCAGTAAGGGGGAGTCAGATGCTTAGGGTGTCTCTATAGTGCTTATTATGCTAGCAGGGCTCATCCTAGTGCTAGAAAAACAGCTGTATAGACAGCATGGCTCAGGCTGGAACTTAGGCTCCCAAGGTCACGCCCCTTTCCCTCCCCTCCAGGCTTCAGTGCCCGAGCCACAACATCAACAGAGCTAGCATGAGCCCTGAGAGCACGGCTCTGTGGACCCAGGATGGAAGGTCTGTTCCGTGATGCAGTGCAGCCATGTCCTTAAGGCTCTTTCTCTTGCATTGAGCCTCTTTAGTTGAAAACTTAGTTTTATGTCAGATGCTGCAGGTTTAGGCTTAAGCATACAAGTTAAAGACAGGGAAGCTGAGAAATGAAGTCATTTCATTAAGGACAGTCTTGTGGTTATGACATGGGTTTGGGAGCTGGGTTTTTTGTCGCCAGATCTACTAGGGTCTTCCCGTTTAACCTTGGGCAACTCTTTTCACCGCTGTGTGCCACAGAGTCCCCATCTGTAAAATGGGAATCAGCAGACTGTCTAACAAATTCATTATTTGTAATGCAGTTTGAGCTTGCCAGCCTACCTAATCTGAAAATAGCATTTCACTCAGACATTCAGGGCAGTAGCGGGAATAAATTAAACCTTGGTTTTTGTTTTGCTGATCATCTAAATCTCATACTTTACAAAATTAGTGACAGTAGGTACCCGTTTTCAATGTTCAAATGAATACACTCTTTGAAGCAGAACTACTTTGGGGGTGTCTGTCAAAAGCCGACGGGGTGTCCTGCTAACTTGCAGTATTTTAATTCCTTAGGCTTTTCAGAAGTGCTCTTTTATGGATGTAAATTCAAACAGTCATGCTGAACAGTCCAGAAATGACACACATGGTAAAGACACAAGGCTTGGCGCTCTAATACACCACAAGGACAAGAAGGTAACAAGTGGCACTTACAAACATGCCACCGACTCTTCGCCTAACCTTCTTTCCTTGCTTCAAGACTAATTTTGTGTCATGTGTGTCCTTTCCTCTTTAACCCTGTCCCAGTGGCTTATTTGCTTTTACCCCCGAGGCTGGCAGACAGGAGTTATATTTGTGCATGTGCCCAAGTTGAGGGGGGGTCAGCTCATCGTTAACATTTACATAAGATTTCTGGTTGAGGAGAGCTCGACATTCTCATTTTATAATACACCACCACTGCCCAGTGGAGTGGCGAGGCCTAAGGATTAAAACCCACATCCCAGGTGGCAGCTTAGAGCATTTTCACTAAGTCAGAGTGCCAGTCACCTGTGTTTCAAAGGTGCTGAGTACCTCTAAGTGTCATTTAAATCAGTGGAAGCTAGAGGTGAGCGCCTCTGAAAACTGGGCTCTGAAGGCCTAGTTTTGCCTTCAGCACTGTTTCTCTCTTTGGTCCCAACTCGTGAACCTGCAGCAGCAGATAGTGTAGTACAAATCTTACATCACATGACAAGTGAAGTGAGATTTGCAATATCTTGAAACAACATTGAAGCTCAAGGGGAGCCTTTCACCCTGGCCTTTGGCTTTCTCCAGTGCATGGATAAATCCTGAGGTTGAGTGTAACAGAAGACTTGGGGAGGGGTAGGAGGAGGGGGGGTTTATAGCCAAATTTTCTTTGGGAGAAATTTTGTCAGATTTCTTTGACAGTGCAAATTCAGCATTGAAAAGGCCAGATGATTGTACTGTCACCCAGCAGCCTGAGTCAGCACTCAGCTATTGCACATTTTCTAAAGTATAGTGCAAACATTTTTTTCCAAAGAACTGACTCAAAAATACTGTTCAATATTCTAATAATGGTTGTGACAACCACAAACTCCTAGCAATTAAAGTAAATTGAGCTTACATCTTGCATGACATTCACATAGGCACCTTTCAATCCTATGGAGCCTAACCAACTGGTATACAGACTATACAAGTATCCCTTCATTTCCCAGATGAAGTGCATGGCTATTTAACAATGCCTAGAGACACTATACCAAAGTTTGGGACAGGCAGTGTAAAATGGAAAAACTGAAAATCCAGGGAAATGGGGGTAGGTAGAATGTAATCAGTTGAGGTGAAATGCAGCCAGAGCCCCAGGTGTAACCTCCCCACTCTTACAAAAAGTGCCATTAAATATATTGGGCCCCAATTTTGAGAGCCCTTTATTGTAATGGGAGCTGAAGGCCCTCAGCAACTTGCAGGTCTGGGCCCTTAAGAAACAAGAGCTGACGTTATTTCTGACATACAAACCATTATGTGAAATGTGACTGGAGTGTCACACTGAACTTTAATTCTTCTCTGGCTTTGATTGTTTTGCATGATAATTCCTCCCTGTTCAAACCATTCAGTAGTTTCAGTGTCCTCCATGCCTAATCTCTGTTAGTGCTAACAAACTGTGAGCATGTTGAGTAAAGATTTTAAACTATGAACCTAGCCCACTGACTTTCTTCTTTCTGAGCTTTATATATAATACTGAGAAGCATGCATTAAGAGACAGTGTGCACTTGAAGTCCATTAAATGATTTCACTTAAGTTACTGTACCTTTACTCTAATGCATTCTCTGTGTTGGAGACTGAATTTCATGACCGATAATTTGCAGCTTGGAAGCAGCAGTTGTTGCTGGTATAAATATATTATTCTCTTGATGTATTTGAACCATTTTTTTTCATTCACACTTTTGTCCTGTCAATACTTTTACTAAAAATCTGATTGTAAAATGGTTATTTTACATCAGTTATAATCAAGTTGCCTCTTCACCCCCAGTGCCCACAGCAAAAACCATAAGTAACAACAGAGCAATAATGAAGGGCAAGTCTTCTCACAGGGATTTGTCACTCTGCTGCAATAGAAATATCTGCTCTTTAACACAAACCAAAAAAAAGCTTCCTTGCCCTGCTGCTGACTTCTCTGAAGTATTTATTGTCTGCACGGTTCCGCACTTCAGAGCCTCCCTGGAAATGTGTCTATATAAACTGGACAGTTAAGAGAATCACTTTAAGACCTGTGTTGCTGGTAGCAGTTAACATTTAAGGAAGGTAAAGAACTACTGGATAAAGTCACCATGTGCCTAGAGGATTTGTTTTTTTAAAGAAATAGGTTGAATTTTATTTTCTGGGTTTTTCAGGGTGTTAAATACTTCACTTATTTAGTGCTTCACGTAAGCACCATTCTTATCTGTAGTAGTCACTTGTAGAATGACTTTGGTATGGTCAGACAGCAGTTACATTAACACAGAACATCACTTCTTAGACAGGAGGAATATTAGAGGCAGTTAGAAAACAGCTGTTTACATTTCAAAGCTTACTTTCAAGGTGAGCCAGACTGTATCATCGTGACATTGAGAAGGGAGCAGGGATCAGCAACGTGTATATGATAATTTTTCAAAAAATTGAGTGACTGAATGACATAACCCCCCCAATGTCGGTCACTAAGTACGGTAATTTTTTTCAAGTGTCCATTGTGCAACATGGTGGTGCCGACACCTGGAAGGGAGGTGTAACAGAGACAGTCCCAGTGAGCCTACAGGCTGTAGGGACTATCAATATTTACAGTTACAAATCAGTCCCTTTGGCGTGGCTGTCAGCCTCCCTCACTTATGGTTTGATTTGTTCCCAATAGATCTTAGTCAAATACTGTATCTAGTTCAAGTGTCAGTCTTATGCAAACTAAGGAATTTTTCAAATCTGGTGTCTAAACAGGTCAAGGTAAAACAATGTTAGAGATAAGATAACTTGGGCTTTTGCACAGCACATTCTGAAGACCTTATACAAAGGACAGTCTTTGGTTAGAATACATGTTGGGCACATGCATAGTTCTGTGCAGTGATATGTTGTACTACCAGAATTTGGAATTTTCCCATGAAGAAGTACAGAAATCAGAAGACTATTATAGACATGGCTGTGCAGCAATGGACAGAGCAGTGAGGTCACAAGGTCTTCACTTCCTCTGAGGATATGGTGATTAATTGGAGAAAAAAATCTTTGCAAGTAACAACTCTGATTAACTAAGTAATCCAACTTTCCCCCTTAGGTATATGGGGATACAACAAGATCTCCAAAAGATAGTGACCACCCTAAGGAGAAGAGGGAAGGGAAAACTGAAGACGAGATGAGTTCTGATGCTTCCAGCATATCTGAAAATAAAATTGGCATTTCAATGAATGACCATTCTGTATTCAGTAAAGATTTGTTTGTAGGGAATAAAGACTATTCCAACAAGAACCCCCATAATATCAGCACAAACTTCTCTGGTGTAAGCTTGCCAGAAAATGACAGAAGAAAAGGGGGTCAAGATGTCTTAGGAGTGCATTATCCAGCTATTGAAACTGGAAAACAAAAGCTGAACTATGGAATATTGAGACACACTGATCACAACATGCCTCAGAACAAACCAGTAGAGTGTGCAGACAAATGTGTCCCAATCAGCAACGTTTCACCTCTTGTCCGGCAAACAGAGTTGCAAACTCAGGAGGCTTCCAGATCACCACAGGAGCAAGAAATGCCTGTAATTGACTACAGTCAGGTTGTGCTAAGGCCTAAAGTATCTAAAAATACCAATGTAAACTATATTGAGGAGACAGAGTCTCCAGCTAGCTCTCCAATTGAAGAAAACCCACCAACAGACAACATTGCTTTTATGATTACCAAGACAACTGTCCAGGTTCTGTCAACTGGAGAAGTTCATGATATAGTAAGCAGGAAAGGAGGAGATATACAAACAGTTAATATAGATGCCAAAAAGGACAAGACATCCCAACAAGGTGTACTAGAGAGTACAGAGAATGAAGAACCAGTAGTTTGTCTGGACAAAAAACCAGTCATCATCATCTTTGAAGAACCAATGGATATTAGATCGGCTTATAAAAGACTTTCAACCATATTTGAAGAATGTGATGAGGAGTTAGAGAAAATGATGACAGAGGAGAAGATAGAAGAAGAGGAGGAGGATGAAGAAAATGAAATATCTGAAATCCCTGTGATACAGAATGAAGCACTGCAGACAATTAATAATGGAAGAGCTGCTACAGTTTATTTAGAAAATCATGGGCTTGAGCAACAATATGAATTTAAACTTCAGTCTCATTCTGACTCTACAGAAACAAAAACTCCTGAGGAACAAGACATAGCAAAGACCGGTTTTAAGAAATTTAGTCAAATTTATGGTCTAAATTCAGAAGTGAAGCTGGATTCTCCTGATCAGTTTGGAAGCAGGCAGGATGCTAAGAAAAAATTTAAATTTAAGTTCCCTAAAAAGCAGCTGGCTGCTCTGACTCAAGCAATACGTACAGGGACCAAAACTGGGAAGAAGACCTTACAGGTGGTGGTTTATGAAGAGGAGGAGGAAGAAGATGGGACTCTAAAGCAACACAAGGAGGCCAAAAGATTTGAAATCACAGGGTCTCAGCCTGAGGATATTACCAAAGATAGTTCTGGCAAGGAAGATCCCATTCCTGAGACGTTGGCACAGAGCTCTAGGACTGATGAAATTCGAAAGAATACGTACAGGACTCTGGACAGCCTTGAGCAGACCATTAAACAGCTAGAGAATACCATCAGTGAGATGAGTCCAAGATCTGTCCCTGAACCTGCATGTGGCTCTGTAAGAAGCAGTGCCCCCTATTCTTCCCATATAACACAAGAGGCTGCACCCAGAGAACTTGTAGTATTGGACGAGAGCCATGCTGGTGCAGAATCCCCTCCGTCAATCCTATCAGCTTCACGTAAGGTACCTTAGTAGGAGAAATCAAACTCCAGCTGCTTTCTAAAATCTGCAATAATCACCATTAAGCAAGAGGTGTCTTATGATTTGTTTGCTTCTTTTCAGGTGGCTTGTTTGGTCTCCCCACTAGGTGTCTAACAGCTAATAGATTGTTTTACCTCTGCTGCTGTTTGGTGATGGGCAATGCAGGGAAGCTGGGCCAATAATCTGCTGTGTGAAATGAGAAATGACACTGACATTAAATCCAGTTTGATCAGTAGTTGAGCAGATTCCTCCATTTGATTCTTGGAATTAACAAGAGTGGTGTGGCTCGTGACGTGAATCTCTGATGTTTCCCCTGCATGTAGTTCTTTGGCTTCTCACACAAAGCTTCTTTGCGCATGGTGTGTGATTCCCCTTTTTAAATGCACTCATATTTACCACTGATTTCCTTGTCTCCCCTGTGTCTCTACAATCCTTTCAACAGGGCTCAAGCACCACTTCACAGACCAGCAGGATGCCAATACCCATGGCTACAAAAAGTAGACAACAAGGAAGCCTGGATAAAGCAGGCAGACAGCACAAGCTACAGGATCCACGCCAATACAGACAGGTAGTTTTACCCTAAACCAAATCTTTGGATGGACATTTAAAGCTGTTTTAAAAAAATGTAAGTCAAGTCACTGACGTAGATTCTACCAAATAATCAATTTCTTCTTTCAAATGTGATCTAACTAGACATCCTGGATCTTGGGGGCATGAAAATCTCTTTATGATCCTTATTACACTTTCACCATACTTTGCATGCCTGCAATAAAACATCTGCTTTTTACTCCACTGTTCAGCTTAGGATGCCATACTTGTTTACTTCCCTTTGGTAAATGTCATTAATCAGGACAGCTAGGAAATCCTCTGTTCAAAGCGTTTTAAAGGAAGCGAAGGCTACTAACCTATGTGTTTAATGCAGCGGTTCTCTAACTTCATTGGACCGCGACCCTCTTCTGACAGCAAAAATTACTACATGACCCCAGGAGTGGGGACCGAAGTCTGAGCTTGTCACCCCGGTTGCGGGGCAAGGGGCAGGAGGGAGAAGGGGCAAAGCCCAAGGGCTTCATCTCTGGGCAGCAGGGCTCGGGTTACATGCCCCCTACCTGGGGCTGAAGCCCTTGGGCTTTGGCTTTGTCCCCAGGCAGTGGGGCTCAGGCTTCAGCTTCGGTCCTGGACGCCAGTCCTGGCGACCCCATAAAACAGGGCTGCGACCCACTTTGGGGTCCCAACCCAGTTTGAGAACCTCTGGTTTAATGGATTACATTAGATGCACATTAACGCTCCATCCAAATGTTTCCATTCTCATGTTAACAATCCTGAAGCATGACCAACGTAGTAAATAGTCCGTAGGTTGATGTGACTTCTCGCACAAGCTTTGTTCTCGCTCTCTTCGCACTCTATGCATTCTTTGTTGTGCACTTTGGGGATTCAACCAGGTCCAGTCCACAGCTGCAAGACTTAGCTCAAGCCTTGAACTGTTAATTCTTATTTTCTGTAGGGCTGTTTTCCCAGGCCCTGTTTACTTATGTTACTGGCTTTCTGACAAACTGTCTCCTGCCATCTTTATTTACAGGCTAATGGAAGTGCTAAGAAAGCTGGTGGGGACTATAAGGCTACTTCCCCTACCCTACCTGCTTCTAAGATCCCTTCTTTTTCTCCCACCTCTGGGAAAAGCAGCTCTGTGTCTGCTTCTAGTGGTGACAGCTCTAACCCTCTTAATCCACCTACTAAAACATCCATTCCTTCCTTTAACCTTCTGAGTCCTCAAACAGGTCGCACTGCTCACTCTACCTCCCTAATTCCTTCGGTCTCTAACGGCTCCTTAAAGTTTCAGAACCCCACTTACACAGGTAAAGGTCACCATCTTTCATTCTCACTACAGACTCAAAATGGCCGGCCATCCCCCCCTTCCTTCTCCTCTTCCCCCCCTTCGTCTACCTCTCCCACTTCACTGAACCAAGGCCTGAAGAGCATCAGGACAATCCATACACCTAGCTTCACCAGCTACAAGTCACAGAATGGAAACGCCAGCAAACTCACCTCCTCAGCCAAGGAGACCGCTTAAAGTCTAAACACTAGTGTGTGCAACTTCACCACGGCTTCTGTTTATTATCAATGAATCCGCAACTAATATTTTAGCAAGAGAATGTATCATTTTGTTTTATTGTTTGAAACTTAATATTAAACATATGCTAAGTACTGGATTAATACAATAGACTAGAGTGAAGCTGTTTTGTAAAACTTTGTTGCTGTTAATGATAATAGAGCATTTTCTTTCTGTATCTAGCACCTGTTACAAAAAGTGCAGAAGGTGTGTGAGAGTGAACTGTGTGTGTGTGTACACAGAAATGTAGAGAGCATGGAAAAAACAATGTATGGTTCCAGAAATTTTAGTAAGTTGTTTTGTATAAAGCTATTTTCATTATGGGGACTACAAGTGAACAGAGATATACTAAAGTGTGATTACACACAAATGTAAAACTGAAACGGAAATATTTTTTTCTTTTCTTTTAGTGTTATTTAGCTTTGTTACAGATTTCTATTTTTCTCAACAAAACATCATGGTTCCTTTCAATATCTTTTTGCCAAAACATTTTGATACTATTATAATGTACATTTGAAAGTATTATGCTGGACAGTAAACCTCTACACAAGAAACAGAGTAAGACTGGTATTAGTGTGTATTAGTGTGTATGAGGTAACTTAACATATTGCACTGCCATTCAAATTATATTTAATAATTTGCCAATCCAAAAAAAATAAATTTTGTTTTTACATAACTATTTGCTCATTACTTTTATTCTTCGCTAAATCCACCATTATTCTTTTGTTTTATTGAGACCTGGTAACTTGTATTGCAGTGTGGATTTTAAGTTGTACACTTCTGTACTGTTATGTATACTGGCAACCTTTTGTACATATCTATAAATATATATATATAAATACTGTATGTGGCTGGGCACAGAGTAGTTTTACTACACCAAAATTAATTTTTATGCATGCTTTAAAGCTATATATATGGGGAGAGGTGAATATTGAGCAAATGGAAAAGAGCAAAAAGTTTCCATAGTTAGTGTTTTTGTAAATAAATTTGTTTAACACCATAATGTAATATACAGAACTATGCTAAGCAAAGAACTTTACAAAAATAAAGGGCTGCATGCTATGGTTTTGTATTTTGTCACCAATAACTTTTACAATGGTTCCAACTCAAATGGTTGTTCAAAAACTTTACTTTTAATGTAAACAGTCTGACATAATGAGTAAAATTGTAATTCTTTGAGATTTGGACTTGTACCTTCTAATGCCATTGAAGAGTTACCCGGCCAAACAGCAAACCACCGTTCTCTAATTAAAAGGGACTGTCTCCTCTTCTTTCTATTTGGTTTCTTATGTCTATTATTCTTTTTCAATAACAGAAAAACAAAACAAAAACAAAATATCAAGTTACTGTTACTCGAGGCTGAAAGCTGGAGGCCCTGATCCCTTACACACACACAGGTTCATGGAGTCCCTTGCAGCAGTAATATTGTCAGTGGACACCTTCTGTCCAAGACTTCAGCAATCACACCAATATCTATGCAAATACCTGAATCAACTCTGGATCAAGTAGAGCTGCTCTGGATTAGAACTGAGACCGCAGCAAGGCTTGTCAACATGATGGTTAGTCAGCGCTGCCTTTAAAGAAACACCCCCCGCCTTGTGTAATGTTACTTTGCAGACAAGGACATAAGCAGCTTCCATCCTGTCCCCTCCTTTTTTGCTAATTTGTCTCCTTTGCCGTCTGTGTTTAAGACAATAGTGTTAATCAGTTGATGCTTCCCTCCCAACAGACTTGCGTTTCTCCCTTTGTTTTCTTCTCCATGCACTTGAGGAACTCTCTAACATGAAGTGGATTTATTCTTTGTATGCAGCCAGCATTGACTTAATAAGAGCCCATGACAGATTTCCGCATGTAGGCAGAGGCTTGACAATTTGTTGCTAGCGTGAGTGCACAAAACAGAATTTATCCGAACAGAGCTTGGTTACATTTTACAAAACATGTCAACCCCCCCTCCCACCTCATAGTTGGTAAATGATTGATTGTGCAAACTAAGAAAGTAGCTAGTTAATTGTGATTTTAGACATGGCTATTTTCCCTCAAGTGTCAGACTATATATTCATGTATAAAATACTATATCTAAAATTGAGCCCATTCTAATCTTGTCTCTACTAACACCTATGGCTGTGCACTCACTAATGCACTGACAAATGTACTTTTATGCAGGACTACCCTGTCACATTCCTCCATTTTGCAATACTGTCATCCATTGCCACTGGTGCCTCATCTCTCCTGCTGGGCTACGAGGTGCCGCTGCAGATAATCTCCATCTCCATGCTTTCTGTGTCCCTGCATTACCCCCCACACACACCCCTCCTTGCTCAATGTGAGCCAGAGACAGCAGCACAGGCATAGGTGATGGCTGCAATACTAGCCCCAGTTCCCTTCTAGTAACCACTTGTGTATCCTTGGCCCAGTGGCCAGCACTGCCCATACCACTGAGTGGGGCAGGGGAAAAGTGAGTTATATGGCTAAAGGCTACTTAGTCACCTCTCCATAGTGGGACCAGATAGCCTGTTTTTAAAGGGACACACCTCTTTTGGGGGACTTTTTCTTATATAGGCACCCATTATTCCCATTCCCTCCCCTCCCCCCCGGTTTCAATTTTTTCACAGTTGCTATCTAGTCACCCTACCGCTCCACCCAGTTGTCTATAGGGTTACGCTAGTGTAAGTGATAGGAGCCTCTCAGCCAATATGTCAGTATAGCTGCTCTCCACGTATTGAGCATTGAAAATTAAGGCTGTATCTACAAGATGCACCAGCTTCTAAGTGAAATTTATCATTCCTAAATATATACAAAATGGACACAGCATCCCATGGGGAACAGATGACAGAATGAAAGTTTTCAGCTACAAAACTCTTGCACATACCAAAAAAAAAATAAAAAAATCAGTGACTAGGCACACTACCTACCTTTTTTTGGTTCAAAAAAAGCACACCCCATTATGCATGTTTCTCTACACCAGGGAACTGGAGAGTAGTGGCTATACCTCATAAATGGGGCATTTTTCTATTAAGCAACAGCCCACCCTTTCTGTGACTCATGTCCTGGCAAAAGGAATTCCTGCATCCCAAACTGCATCTCAACTGCTGCAGGATGGGTGGCAGCGCTGAAGCAGAGAAGGTTCAGCAGGTGCTCTGTACAGGAAACAGGTATCTTACCTGCTCTGCCAACTTTGGAATCTCTCTCATGAGGTGGGTTTTTTGAGGTAAGCTTGCTATGATGGCATGACATGAATTTATTTGAATTTGCCACCATGCCCCAATCAAAACCCAGGTGCCCCTTTCTCCTATCTACTGCCCTGGAATGTTCACCCACTCCAAAATTTTGCAGCAGGGTCCCTCCCATCATCCCTCACCCACCATCGCCAAAGGAGCAGAGGGCTGCTACTAATCCCAGCCCCTCACTGAAAGGGGCTGTGGTGCACAGAGAGGGGAACAAAGGGAGGATGGAAAATATTAGGGTAAGGTGTAGTATGTGGCTTCCTTTTCTTAGTGCAGGGGGATCAGCTTCCTAAAGTCTGGGAACTAGTAGCCTCCAGCCTTCCCCTGCAGCAGTGAGGCGGACCTTACAAAGGTCATCAATGCGACCTTGTTTTCTGGGGGACTGAAGTCAGATTGCCCTCAAAGAAGATTGTGGCACATGGTGGTTGGGGAATAGAAGGTGAAACCCAATGAGGCTGTAGACGGCAGGAGATTGAGTGAGAGAGGTTATTATACAAAGGGGCAGAATTGTTGGAGGCAGCAACACTGAAGGAATAACATGAACATGGGACTGAGGGGAGTAGGAAAGAGGGCCTTTCCCAGCAGTAGGTGGTGCAGGAGGCTACCATCTCACTTTCAGGGAAATGGGTGGGGCAGGATGTGACAAAGCCATCTGGGAATGTGGTATGCAGGAGAATATGGACAACCGAGGAAGGGTATTAAGGAAAACAGGTAGGAAAGGGAATATAAAAGCATGGGGGAGGAAAGACGGTAGGAGAGCTTGGATAGAAATTCTGAATAAGGGAGGAGACAGCACCAACCCCGAGAAAAACAGAAGGGAGATCAACCCCCCCCCGCCCCCCAACACACACACACCCTGACATTTTTGCATGGTGGATTTTGAACCTGAAATGCACTCTCACTTTGGCCTTGGGCAGCTTCCCCCTAGAGGATAAAAAAAAAAAAACCACAGCAACATTAAGTGTGGGGGTAGGGATCCCGGGAGATAATTAAAAAAAAAATTAGCGCCCCTGGTGCTTGAACATTACTGTATATTAGGCAAAGGGAGCAGAGATGCTGTCACTATGCTGCAGCTGTAGCCTTCATCTCCAGCTGGACCTAGAGGGTGCACATCTCTCATTCTACCTTCCAAATGACCAAGACACTGAGGAATTATCTTCTCAATTTACTAAGGGCAACTGCAGTTCCACAGGATAGTCAGCAACAAGGGAGCCCTGCTGGTGGCCGTCCCCTTCTTCCCTGACACAGGGTGAGAGAGAAAAGCAGGAAGGTGGTTAAAGACTGGCTCCTTAGATTTCTTAGTGCTCATTGTAAATGGCACAGAAGGTCTGCTCGAAATCAACACTCACGAGTAGTTTAATTTGGAGGGTTGGAAGGAAAGGCGTGTGGTTGCTCTCAAACCAAACTGAGTTCCCCCCACTACCCCGTTTAAAGGGGAACATTGCTTTGGAGACGTCAAAAATTACAGTCCCCAAAAATGCATTATTCAGCTTTTCACAACTATCCCAGATATGTCCATTTGTTCTTTATTTCCCATCAAGAGAGAGCAGTCCTCTTTCCATTTGATCACTGCTGAATCAATTAAAGTATCTATTTAGGAAGTATGAATTGTGGAGGGTCTCCCATGGTCCGCAGGTATTAGAACGCACTTCGCTAGTTAACAGAGAATCTGCTTCAACCATGAAAAGATGTCTAAAGGCCACTTGCAGTCCATACATATTTTCATGTACTTTTATTATGTGGATATCAGAGCAACATAGTATCCATGGTGTTGAAGTCCCTTGCAGAAATGCACTTTGAAAGGAGAATTTTAGTCCTGATAGTAGTGAAATTAAACTGCCAACTACTGACTTTGAGAAGCTAGCAAAGATTGATTTGTCCTTTTATTTCAAATGGAGATGCTACTTATGCACCAGCATCACTATACAGTTGGAAAAGGTGCTAGAGGGACAGTAAGAACAAATGATTTTTATTTCAGTTGCTACTGGGCACAGACATACACAAAACTTCAGTAAAGAGAATTTTCATGGATCATCAAACAAGATACTTTTCGCAGTGGAAATACATGTTTATAGTTGTGTCTTCACAAGGAACAGTAAGGTAGATACAGATTAAAGTACAGAATTATTACAGCCATTTTGAACAAAATGAAAAAGGCTCTATATGGAACCAAGCCTGCCTACACATCACGCGTTGTTAGTACTGAGAACACGTGCATGAAAACAGAATTTTGTTGCACAGAGTTTGTGCGCTCCTGCTGCTCATTCCCCGCTTAGGACCAACACTGGATTATTGTTACCCTCTTTAGAGCAATTAACTTTCCTGTCACCAACAGAGGATTGTGACTTGGAGGGCAAATACCCAGCAGTGGACAAAGTAAGGAACAAATATGCTAGGCAATAAAAGAGGAGAAACCAAGTATAACATGTAGGTAGAATTGTATGTAAATAGAAATTTTTCTGAGTTTTCACAATCCATCAGCTGGTCTTTACAATGAATTACAAAGACAGCACTGATTTGGCTGCTGGTATGGAAAACACCAGAGATCTAAGGGTTAAGATATTCAGCATTCTGTGATTCTGAAGAATTATTGATATTTTCATGTTTTCCTCAGTACCACAGAAACTGCACATTGAAGGAAGACCACTTAACCAAATAAATTTCAGTTAGTGTATGAGATAGGGCCAGATTGTAAATTGAGTTTAAAAATCAAAATAAAGAAATGTAAGCATCTGAACCTTCCGTCACATGCTATACTTGTGGCACTGTCCCATGGCCACAAAAGGTTTGAAAAACGCAGAGTCCTTTACCTCTGAATAACTCACAGATTTGTAATAGTCGCCTCTTTATACTCTGCAACCCAAAACCTTTGAATTGCCTCTTTCCACATACAGACTGTCATTCACTCCAGACAATAATTGCAGGTTTTCTGATATTTGGTGCAGTTGCAGATTGCAACTTGTAAGCAATCATTTTAGAACTATTCATTAGAATGAAACTCAGGCCATTCAAGGAGTCACAAAAACAATTTTATTTCCAGTGTTTAAGTAGAT